TCTGCTCATATCTGCTCATATCTGCTCATATCTGCTCATATCTGCTCAAAGCTGCTCATATCTGCTCATAGCTGCTCATATCTGCTCATAGCTGCTCATTTGCGTAGCTACCCATAGCTGCTCATAGCTTCTCATAGGTGCTCATAGCTGCTCTTAGCTGCTGAAAGCTGCTCATAGCTGCTGAAAGCTGCTCATAGCTGCTCATAGCAGCTCATAGCTGCTCATAGCTGCTCATAGCTGCTCATAGCTGCTCATAGCTGCTCATAGCTGCTCATAGCTGCTCATAGCTGCTCATAGCTGCTCATAGCTGCTCATAGCTGCTCATAGCTGCTCATAGCTGCTCATAGCTGCTCATAGCTGCTGAAAGCTGCTCATAGCTGCTCATAGCTGCTCATAGCTGCTCATAGCTGCTCATAGCTGCTCATAGCTGCTCATATGCATAGCTACTAATATAGCTGCTCATATCTGCTCATATCTGCTCGTATCTGCTCATATCGGCTCAAATCTGCTCATAGCTGCTCAAAGATGCTCATAGATGCTCAAAGCTGCTCATATCTGCTCATAGCTGCTCATATGCATAGCAACCCATAGCTGTTCATAGCTGTTCATAGCTGCTCATAGCTGCTCATAGCTGCTCATAGATGCTCATAGATGCTCAAAACTGCTCATATCTGCTCATATCTGCTCATATCTGCTCATATCTGCTCATATCTGCTCATATCTGCTCAAAGCTGCTCATATCTGCTCATAGCTGCTCATATCTGCTCATAGCTGCTCATTTGCGTAGCTACCCATAGCTGCTCATAGCTGCTCACAGCTGCTCATAGCTGCTCTTAGCTGCTGAAAGCTGCTCATAGCTGCTCATGGCTGCTCATATCTGCTCATATGCATAGCTACTCATAGCTGCTCATGTCTGCTCAGATGCTTCTATTGCTTGTTCGTGATCAAAATCGTCATTTTCAACAAAATTAATGCATCTTTTGTGTGCATTATTTTCTTATGTAATGGATCTTTCTTTAGTTGTCTCATCCACAGAAGGCGTTCCAAATTATATTTTCCATTTTTTTCTGGAGTATATCCATAACATTCGAGTAAGCTTTCTCCGTAGCAGAAAGTCATCCATGCCAGTGTTTATAACGCTTTCTTTCATTTCTTCAAAATCAGTATTACTTTCTCGCCTTTGCTTCTTCTATTAGCGGTATCCATGAATGGATCCATTTCTTTTTCAGTTTCTGAGTCAGTCGTCATCGAACTTTCAGACTTTGCAGATGAAGAGGTAGATGCATCGTCCGTTCTTGACTGTTTGTGTCTCTTCGAGACATGCTTCTTTCTTGCTCTCTTAGTGAACAAGATTCCCGTTCGTGTCTGCGCAGATTGTAACCGCGTCTAAAGTGTTTCCCGCAAAACTGGAGCTCATTCTCTTAGGACTGATTCTGTAAAAATGCTTTGTTATTGAACAGTAACTGAATTTTATGAGGACAGAAGCATGAAGTCATAAGCAGCTATGAGCATCTATGAGCAGCTATAAGCAGCTATAAGCAGCTATAAGCAGCTATAAGCAGCTATAAGCAGCTATAAGAAGCTATAAGAAGCTATAAGCAGCTAGGAGCAGCTATGAGCAGCTATGAGCAGCTATGAGCAGCTACAAGCAGCTATGAGCAGCTATATGAGCAGATATGAGAATGTGTCCACGAGCAGTTATGAACATTTATGAGCAGTTATGAGCACATGCTCATGCGCTCATTGCTCAAAATTGTAACCCATTTTGCCTTCAAAATCTACCCAAATCTAACATTAATACTATTTAATAGTTTGGTGTTAAAATGGCTAGGAGCAGTTGAGCATGTTCTCGTGAGCAGTTATGAGCAGTTACGAGCAATTATGAGCACTTATGCCGCATTACTTATGCACATGTGTGCGTCGGCTCATTCCACAAAATTGTAACCCATATTACTTTCAAGGATTATTCATTTGCGTCGACGACGTGTAAACACTCAAAATGTATCCTACTGTACACATGTTCACTGATCGCTATTCACATGATAGAAATCTCCATCCCACATGATCTATGATCCCTGTTCTCATGTACCCTCATGGTCATTGTCCACGCGAATCATGACTTCTTTGTTAACATAATCAAAGTTAACGTGCAACCTCATGGTCTTTGTCCAGGTGTATCGTGATTTTTCTTAACGTGAACCTATTGTGTCGGCACACTTTTATGTCAACATGGGCGGGGGGGGAGGGGTATTTACTATTTACTAGTCAAAACTACAGGCTTTTTGATAGATCTGTGGCTATGCTAAGCGAGCGCGCAGGGAATTTTGGGAAGCGTGCGACGGCCTGTCGTGGGCCTATAATGTATAATTACCTAAAGCGCCTCGGTACGAGGCTGTAAAAGAGTTGGAGCACTTCGGTTTATGGTTATTAAGAAAAATTTGCAATTGTTGTAATATTTAGATACAGAAGCTCGTAAGGTTTTTACTCCTGAGAAAGTTAATATCGAGCTAAGGTACCGCCAATAGTGAGAGTAAAAGTATGTAAGGAATGTAATAGGCACTAGATGCTTAACATGTCAAAATATTCAAGAGAACGACACTTTTAGGTGCACAGTTGATGGTAAATGTAGGAGACAATTAAATAATGTTGGTCAATATACGGATATGTACTGTAAAAATGGTAAAAATAACTGACTGAAATGTTTTTTGTTTTTTTTTTCATTTTTGATAATAGAGACCTTTACCAATACCAAACCGCGAACAGCAAGCGGCTAATTTCAAATAACATTTAAAATTAGATTTCGGCTCTTTCTCGGCCACAATTAATCTCAAAAGTTACTCTATGTTTATTATTATTATTATTATTATTTTTTGTCAGTTTCCACTGGAGGCCGATATATAATGAAAATAATACACTAATTTTCTTGGCCTCAGAAACCTAGCGTTTGTTTTGAGAGTTCGAAATAAATTTGTCTGTTTGCCGTTAGAGGGTTGTCGTACACGTAACTGAGCTAAAGATATCAATATGTCCAACAAAGCGCACGCGAAGGCGTCTTTCCTTTCGCATTTCTTACCGGAGGAGCATAATATAGCTTAACCATGCAGTGATTGTGATATAGTTTTAAACAATTGTCAAAACAAACGAGCAGAACCAACAACTAGAGAAATGTTATATGGATCAATAGACCTACAACACCTACAACAATGCATCCTTGTTTAGGCTTGAATATTGAGAACGATTTCTAATGTATATAATTTATATAAACAAAGCTTCATACAGATCATAGCTTACATCAACAAAATTAATATAATTAGGTCAACTTTAGAAATACAAAAGTGATTATTCACGAGATCCTTTCCGTCAAAGCGGAAAGAAATATTGCATGAAACTTAATTTTTCCGCCAAGTCGTCAACGTCGACTGCGCTATTTGCAAACTAGTCCAATTAGATCCTGTTTACACTAGAACGAAAGTTTCCGGATTTGTAAAATTCGGATTCATTGTTACACACATGTATCGGATTCGTCAGGTGTTTACACTACACTTTAGTTGTCTCTGTATGCGGATTTGTCCGTTTACACTCACATTACTTGTTCTTGGAGAATTGTTTGGTCGTCATATTGCCATTTCTTTGGATTCGTCGTCCAAAGCGTTTACACAAGAAAATTTTCCGGATTCAAATGTTTCTGGATACGAAGTTTCCACAAACTTTTACGGATTCAAAGTTTCCGGATACGGCTTAAAACTGAGTATATTTTCTATCGGATTCGTTGCTGCGTGTGTAGACAGCAACATATACTAAAAACATTCCGCTTTCGTGATGAATCCGGAAACTTTCGTTCTAATATAAACAGTGTCTTAGTCAGACTATACGGCCAATTATAGTTAAACACCGACGACAGCAGTATCGAAAGTTCTATTAGACTTCGCTTGGTACGTCTGATAGGCAAAAAAACGTTCGCTAAAAAGTTTGGCCCAGTATCTAGAGGAGAGAGTGACGGGTATTTCATCATAAAAGGTAGCCACTACCGCTCAAATCCTTGCTCTCTTATAGTGACCATCTTCTTTATAGTGATGAATTTCCCGAATAACCTCATAGACATACTTATGTTTTATATTTTTAATATTTTGTAGTGATGATTGCTTTCACAGCAACTCGACTGCTCTGTGGCCTAGTATTCATACTAGGTAAGTTGTTTTGCTTGCTCGAATTATTCTTGTGCTTGTTTTTTTTATGAAATCATAATAATAATATATATGATCGACTGCGATGTTAGTTTAATTTTGATGTTAACAACTTGGAAGCGGAATTTCTTCATCGTGCTTTAAGGTAAAATCGCGACATGTTGGCGCCTTTTCTAATCCGTTATGTCCAAACGCGGTTTCTATTGGACGACTGCAACCGAACCGCAACCGTACACGACCGCAAGGGGAAAAATTCGATCGCGTCGCCGTTGACTTCCGAACGGAATGTGTTGAACTGATGAGAATGACAACACAATGATCAAATCGAAATTGTATTATTTCTGGACAATACTGTAGTTTTAAATTCATCAATGCATGCTCATGCAGTATTTCAAAATTTGGTCGATATAATTTTGCATGGTGATAAACAAAACAAGTGGGTGGGTTGGGTTGAGTCTAGAATTTAGATTCGGTAGACGACATTTAATAAAGTTACAAATACGTTTACACATTTATTTCAAACCTTCCTCCAAACACCACCTTAATAATTTCCCTTTGATGCTTATCCCTTAAAAATAAATAGCGTGCTTAAATATCCTTTACCTGATTTAAATTCTGCACCTGAACCTAGCAAATAACTGAATTTTCCTCGTTACCTGGCATTCACATTTTATCCAGAAATAAGTATAACGTCACGGATTAACAATCTTTATAATTTGAGATGCGGTATACATATAAATCATTGTAGCAAATAGGCAATCTGAAGATGATTTGGAAAAATGTATCACGGAATTTTCTCGAGTTATTTTATTTAACATGGACTTTCGGTTTGAACATGTTGGTCTTCAGATTATGAATTTATGTATTTTGTGAAATTGTTGGCTGGTATTAGTTTTTTTCCCCTTGTGTCCCGCGGCTAATCAAGATATTTATTACAGCGTACTATATACAGTACTTAATTGTATTAACTACATTTACTTCATTTTATTAACTCTAATATAAATCTGGTTTGTCTTTCTTCTTTTAAAGGCATCGCTACGTCTTCAACATCTCCAGGTAGTAACATTCCATATTTCTGATGAAAAAGTATCTCATAAAATCCTATCAAACTTGAAAAAGCGTTGTCATTTCAAACATTATTTCTCCCTTTTCTTGCAGGTCCATGTGGGATTAGCCACCTGTATGCTCCTGCTACACTTAAAAGTCCGCTTTATCCCAGTTCCTACCCTAACTCGATCGACTGTAACTGGACTATTTCATACACCAATGGATCAAGGATTCTGTTGACGTTTTCATCTTTTTCGGTAGGTCACAATCAGGTATTTTTAATTCAAAAGAGGATAGCCCTTTTAATCTTGGAGAAATCAGGACGCATAGCCATCACTTTGATTATGAATAATTTCGGGTTGTTTGTTTACTATGTTAGACATTATCTGCTCTCTCGTCTGAAAATCTAACTTTATCCTTCGAACATTATTTTTTTATGGCTCCAAAATGTTATTAATTTTTCCCATGTCGATATCTACACTGCCATCAATTCTTTCAAAGCTTGCGGACCCCGCACGCAAAATAAAACTTCGCTTTCACGTACTTCAAAAAGGCGAGCAAAGCATTTTTGTTTCTGTTTCACCTTAGTTGGAAAGTCATTCACTTTGTAATTATGATTACTTGGACGTTTATGACGGTGACTCATCGTATGCAAAAAAGCTTGGGCGATATTGTGGAAGTCAATTACCACAAAGTATCATATCATCTGGATCCCACCTCTTTATTGCGTTCCACTCGGATGGTAGTCAACAAAAACAAGGATTCGTTTTGAATTTCACAAATAAATTTGGTAAGTTTTATGTACAAATTTAACTTCAGGATAACCTAACGAACACTAAAATCCATAAATTATAAAACTGTCTAAATATTCATACGGGAGCATTTATATGTATGTATGCAAATAGCATGCATCGATCCATATCATTAGCTGATTAAGCAAATCCATACTGTTTCCATACCAGCGTTTCCACAATTAAAAGAAATTTCCTTCAAAATGTCAACCATGAGGGAGGGAGGGATTAGTCTTAATAGAATATATTATTATAAATTCATTTCAATTGTTTCTTGTTTCTCTCTTTCTTATTACCATTTCTCCATGAGGACAGCCTTATGCAAATAAGTTGTGGAAACGCTGTTCCATACATGTATAGTATAACGACATTTGAAATTTCTCTAGTCGTTCTCTCGTTTGAACAATCGTCACTTACACAAACTCTGACCATAAATCAAATCAAAACTTCTGGTTGATTTAATTACCATCGGTATAGAATACAATCATGAATCATGCCCCAAAGGAAGTTAAAACTTCATGTAAATGATCTGCAATGGGTCGATTCTGACTTAAAAACATCAATCAAATCTCGTCAGCTTGCTTTTTCAAACGACGAAAGCGAAACATATCGCTATTACCGGAGAAATCTTAGAAAGAAATATTTCGCGTCTAAAGTCCAGCATCTTAAGGACACAAAACCAAATCAGTGGTGGACCTCTGTTAAGCGTGTAGCAGTGATAACATCCTCCTGCGATTCAGAGTCACTGCTTTCCAAATTGCAAATCCCAAGCACCGATTCACTTTTGCCACAGGAACATGCGAACATGGTAAATAAAGCTTTCCTTGAACAGATGCAAACTTTTCAAAAGGTTGATCCTCCCCTTTTGAACCACACGGAATTCCAAATTGGATCCTTAAAGAATACGCTGTAATACTTTCAGATCCCATTTGTCATGTTGTAAACAGTTCATTCGCCGATCAATGTCTTCCATCCTCCTGGAAACTAATAATAGCTAATGTAATACCTATACCTAAACAAGGCCCAGTTGAGGATGTTAATAACCACTTCCGTCCCATTTCATTTACACAAACTATTTTTAAGTTTGCTTAAGACTTTGTAGTAGAATTGTACATTGGAACTGCGATGAAATGCAAAGAACTCATCATTGACTTTAACATTCTGAGCATAATTTCGGCCCTTTATTAGTGAATGGTAACCACTTTACGTCGTCAAATACCAAAAGATCTTGCGTTTATCTCATCCGATCGTCAGTGGAATATTCATAAAAACTAATTATATATTAATATAGGTGAATTAGCGGATCTATTTCTTGGTATTATTAAAGCGCTGTGGGGTGCCAGCAAACGAAATTAGAATTTTTATCTGTTCCTGTATTAGACCTCAATTACAATATTGTTGACAAGCATTCCACTGCTGTCAGATCATATACAACTGAAATATTTGAGTGATGACTTGGAAAAGACCACTGGCCATTATCTCTCCAAATTATTCATATGATCACAATCTGCAAAAGGTTAACGCGGTGTTTCAAAGGGAAAATATGTATTTTTCTCATGTTCAGCTGCTCTTCATCGCAATCTTACAGGGGTCAGTTGCATGTTCGAAAGACAGGAAAATTATCCCACGGATAAGTCCTATATATCCATCGGGGGCCGGTTGTATGAGACCCGGATAGTATTTTTTTAAATCGTTCTAAAAATGCTCGAAAAGCGATAAAGTTCCTAAATTATTATTGAATCATTAAGCCATCTTGTCGCTATAATTGCTGGAAATGAATTGCCTTTTAGAAAAATATGAATGTTACGAATGCCACAAGCAAGCGTCGTGTATTAATACCAATGGAACGCTCCACTGCTCTTGCAACAACGGTTTCACTGGAAATGGATCTTCATGCACAGGTGCGTTTCTCTTATAGTGATATTTTCATATATTCTTTATATTTCAGAGCCTAATTCCACGGGTGCTTTTACTCGGCGAAATGGGAAATATTTCGCCTGTTTCTTTTGAATTTCGACCACTTTAATAGATTGATTTTGCTACATTGCTCACAATTTAAAAGAAGCAGGCGAAATATTCCGCATTTCGCTTAAAAATTTAGCCCGTGGATTTAGGGGTTTATACTTAGATCACCATGACACCGCGGAAATTAGGGCTGCTTTCCACTGCCGCGTTTTTTGCACGTACGTACACGCACGTAAAAGCTTAAAACCTTCTAAGTTTTTTTAAATTAACTTTATGGCAGAAAAAGCACACCTAACGTTCAACAGAATCCAACCGTCAAGAAAAAGACTCAACAAAAAAATAAGTTTTCTTGCTCTTGTAATTGCTCATGGTAACAATTACAAATGAGTGAAATAGCTTGTGAGTACACCACGTGGCGTATCTACAAGTTATTAATTTACTTAAAACATGCTAAAAAAATTTTTAGAATATTGTTAAAATTTACTTGCACAAAAGATTTGAAGCTTGCACACGGCAAAAACCAATAGTCCAAATTAATAACATTCTGTATACATTTTAAGCCTCCAAATGACCTCTTCACGGCTGTCAGATGTGAACGATGATGTGTTAAAAGATCGAAAAATGTGTTTTCAACTTTTTAAAGATATTCAAAAGTTTTCTATTTGATATACAGAAAGGCACATGTAATTGTAAACCAGTGATTGGATTTTCGGGTTGAAACATCTAACTCCAACTTCTGCGGTGTTGACGAATATTTATCTTTGATGCTGTTGTATTTCTACATATTTTTTCTATATTATATTTCAGATGTCAATGAATGTGAAATTGGAACAAACAACTGCAATGGCAACGCGTCTTGCAACAATACCATTGGCTCGTTTAACTGTGTTTGCAATATAGGCTTTGTTGGCGATGGAACAACATGTAAAGTACATTTTTAATACAATTAAAAACAATATTCATCAAACTAAAGCAAAATGTTAGTTAAGAAGTTCAAAAAACACCATGTCTTCCAGTTTTTTTGTTAATTTATAAGTGCACGTGCTTACACACATATATATAAATGAGTTTACATTTAACCCCACAAGATGGTTTTGAGGTAAATTAATCCTACAGTGTCCGCAAGAACATCTTGCAAAGAAAAGGAATTTGAATGACTTTTTATGTGAAAACTACTACATTATTGTTAGGAAATAGTTACTCAACTTGTCGATTACCATAACCGCAACCAAATTTCAGGAGCGATTCATGTAAAAAAATTATTTTAGGTGAAGAAATAACAATATGCCCAAAAAGAATCGATCTTGGATTTATATTGGACAGTTCTGGCAGCATTGGTCGTTACAGCTTTGATCAAACGAAGTCATTTGTGAAAGATCTCACGAAATTTTTCACGATTTCTCAAAACAGCACCAGAGTGTCAGTGATGTCATATGCCACAGGGGCAACATTGCATTTTCGCTTTTCTCGAGTATTTGGAACCCGACAAAATCTTTATTCAGCAATAGATAACATTCCATACAGTGGAGGTGGGACGAACACCCATCTGGCGTTGTTAAGAGCGTATACAGATATGTTTAATGCAAAAAATGGTTCCCGAGTCACAGGTTGGTTTGGTATCAGAATTTTTCATTGCAGTAGAAATTGCAAGTTTTTAGAAATGAAACAACTTGAGCGAATTGTCTAGTATTTAATCTAAAAAAAGCAACCAATTGAAAAAAGTAATATTTGAGCACAAAAGAATTGTCATTTTGAAAATGCATTTTTTGGCCTACATTCATTGAAAAGTTAAGAAATAGAAGTAATCGGTAACATCAGAACACGTTCAGGGCCGCGTGACTGCTGCTAGGAAGTGTGTGGTATAACACTAACACTAACATCCCCCAAAATACCTAAGCCAAGAAATATTTTCAGTAATTTTCAGCCGTCTTTTCACCGATATTTCCTGAGCTCCCGGCGCTTTTTCTACTTCGAGTCTCCCGGAATTAAGTCTCAAAGCAGCGCTCAATTTACGCGTTTGAACTACACACTGCACAGGGGTGGGGGAGGGGGAGACGATAAATGTCAGTTTTGGATTAGGTAAATTAAAAAAGAAGCTCGCCATTGCATCGCAAAATGTTTCGCCTTTTGTTCTGTCTACTCAGTTAAATCACTTTAATTATTTTGTGTAACACCAGCCAACTATCTTTAGGTGTAAAGAAAGTTTTGATCGTTTTTACGGATGGCCATAGCTTTGGAAATGTATACCAACCTTCCCAGCAACTGAAGAATATGGGTGTTGTAATATATTCTTTCGGAGTTGGAAATGGAGTCCATATGCCAGAGTTGAGAACGATGGCTTCTTCTCCTGCGAATAATCATGTTTTCCTTTTGCGAAATTTTCATCAATTATCAACATTGGAGAGGAATATTTCATATTCTGCTTGCAACGGTAATGTTTTAAAACGTGCTCAAATATGGCTTTTTAACGGGTTGAATGGATGCTATCTTGCCCAGAATAATACTGTTACAATAATTAATATCTAATAAATCCTGCTTTTTAAAAGAAATTATGATTTACATTACTACGAGAAGTACATTCTGAACATTACCTTCCAGATAATTTTGAATGTTACCGCTGCGATATTCATGCATCGTGTCTCAAATCCAATGGCTCGTTTCAGTGCTTTTGTAACGTTGGTTACACTGGAAATGGACTGACATGTACCGGTATGTTTTCCAAAATTCCGCATTGACTTTGACATTTATCATTTATATACCTCCACTGACGGGGAATCGGCGAAATATTTTCCGAAGTTATGAAATTATATCTGCGTTTATACTACGTGATTTGACCTGACCAGGACCAGGCCTAGGCCTAGATGTGAACGTGGTTTATCCAGGCTAGACCAGCTCTGGACCTGGTGTAGGCCACAAAACCCAAGCCAACTGCAGAAGGTGGGGCAAGATTTTGGTAATGTGAACATGCTTTACCTATAGCCCTAGTTTCTTAAACAATTTTTGAACTTAATAGGATGATTTGAATAGGATTCATACAGTATTACAACTTTTCGGCTTTTTTGGGGTCTTTTTCTAAGTCTTTATCAATTACTTTGGTTATCTGATATCATCAACAAGGAAGACAGTGTGAACGTGGCACAAATTACCTGAACTTTTCCTAGACCTGGGCCAGGCCAGGTCTAGGCCTGAAGTGTAAACGCGGCTTATGTCTTTCGTCGACAATACGGTTAATTGCCTTGGCAGAATCGTTAATTTCTTGATTTCAAACAAACAACAACACTATTCCCGCAATTATTTCGAGTGTGTGCGTGTAGTTCTTGCAAAATGTCGTGTGGGATAAATTTAATATCACAGTGTGATAAATTTAATGTCACACCCCCAACTCGGAGATAGGAGTCTTGGACGCGATACCGCGAAAAATGTCCTCGTCACATGATACAAATAATGTTTTTTGTTTTGGCAATTTGAATTTCTATTGTGCAATTTGAATTTATATTGCATAATACATATACTGCAATTGACCTTCAATAGGTTAGAATCTTGTACTTCAAATGTGAATGTTGTATTTCAGATGTGAATGAATGTGAAATTGGAACAAACAACTGCAATAGTAACGCGTCGTGCAACAATACCATTGGCTCATTTAGATGTGCTTGCAACGTTGGATATGTTGGAGATGGAATAAAATGTACAGTAGATATTAACAAATGCGTGATTAGCAAAATATCCACTGATATCTCTGACTAAAGTCCTTATTCTGCAGTGACCACAAATAAAGTTTTCTCCCACTACCAGAGACTGTCAGTTTACCATTTTTTTGCTAAAAGCGATCTAAATATCGCTCAATTAATTCAAACCGAGAGGAGATTTTTATTCAGCGACATTCAAGCACCTCTTCTTTGGTGAATAATGGTTTTAGCATACTTACACAGGTGTTTTGTTGAAAAAAAAGCGAAGCTGTTCTAGATAATACATTGCGTTTAAACAGCTTTACTTGTGTGTGTGTTTTTTTTTGTAACCGCATTTTCATTTACTTTACCACACTCGCCGCCAGTTTGAAAAATTTGCTTAGGTGAATTTGGCGCAATAATCTGAGGTCGCTCGACCAATCAGAGGCCAGAATTTTTAACGATCACCTGTTTAATTATACTATATAAACAATAATTTATTTAAGTATAGCCCCATAATAACCATCTAGGGATGTCCCTGCATCTTTTAGCGTTTCGATAGCCACTTTAACTGTGCTTTTTGTGCGTTGTCTTAATGCTATCTATCACGTTTTATAGGTAGAAACCTGACAATCTGCGCGAAGAAGATTGATCTTGGGTTTGTAATGGACAGTTCAAGCAGCATTGGACATTATAATTTTAACCAAACCAAATTGTTTATAAAAGATTTTACCGATTATTTCAAAATTTCTGAAAACGGAACGAGAGTGTCGGTGATAACGTACGCGACATGGCCAACATTACAGTTTGGATTTTCTCGAAAATTCACCACCCGACAGGATCTTTATTCAGAGATAGATAACATTCCATACACAGGATATTGGGGAGCGGACACCGAAAGGGCTTTAACAAAAGCATATATAGATATGTTTGATACCCAGAATGGTGCCCGGATTTCAGGTATTTGATCATTTGATTTTGGTCATCATCAATCCTTTTACTCATTTTTTTAAATTGCGTCTATATATTATTATATGTAAGCTGATCTTACATTGTAAACAAATTAATTCCGATGAAAATTTCAACTTAAGTTCTTTCTTTGCCGTAATTAGATCAATATTTCCAGAAACAAGACGTTCAAGAAAGTGTGGTTTATTTACTTCTAGTACTTAGTAAACGGATAATGGCCTGACTTAATAGTAAAAAAGTTAATTCATTGGATTTTATCCGCGCGGCAAAACTTTACCATTTTCCACCGGACTTCATTAAAACCTGTGTCACACATTCCAGATCTAGGAAATTTGCGATAAGACGGAAGAGTTAAATTTGCTCACTAACAAAATACAAGGAAACTGCGTTGTCTTAACATATTAAACGAAGACAGATCAGCAAAAGCTGTTTTTACAAATCTTCCGTATTTTTTTCTTATGCTTGCTAATAATATTTAGGAATAAAGAGAATTTTAATAGTTTTCACTGATGGAAGAAGCAGTGGAAATGTTTATTATCCTTCTCAACAACTGAAAAACATGGGTGTCGTAATATTCTCAATTGGAGTTGGTTCAGGGATCGATGTTTTACAGCTCGAAACAATGGCTTCCTCTCCTGCAAAAGATCATGTGTTCCTACTCCGCAATTTCAGTGAATTCGCACATTTGGCTCACAATATTTCATTTATTGCTTGCAATGGTATGTTATTAACATCTGTTAGGCGTTGAAAAGAATGGGTAAAATGGTATTATATTTCTCATTTATAAAGTGTTTTTAAACTGATGTTTTCCTGTTACAGGTATTACCACAAACATAACGCGAGGTAATTTTTTAAAAAATTTTTTTGTAGTCAACGTTATTTTAAGAGAAAATGGAAAATGGATTTGTTAAAATATTAGAAAAAAAATAATTTCAGTAATGGGTTGAGCACTAAGAAGGGGATATGGCAAAAACTTTTCCTCTTTTATACTCTCCACCACGCCACATCCCACAAAACAGTCTAAACCATCTCGAGGTACCATGATAACTCATGTAAATTCACATAACGCAATATTCGCAGCAGCTATAGTTTAACACATTCTTCTTGACTTTTTTTCTTATTCAGATTCATGTGGAAATACTCATCTGTACACTCCTGGCAGACTCACAAGTCCTCGTTATCCTTACGAGTACCCAAGACAATTAAATTGTTCTTGGATAATTTCTAGTACCAATGCAACATATGTTTCACTGCAATTTTCAGTGTTCTCGGTACGTCACAATTGAAATATATATTTTTTGACTTCGATAGTATAGGAATATTATTTTTCCCCTAGTGTCGCTGGGTTTTCAAATTAATCAGCATTTCATTTTGATAGTGAGTTGGAAGTAAACGCCGTCAAAGATTATGACCAAGCAAACTTTGTTTTTAAAATATTTTTTTGAAAAATGGCCGTGTAGGATCTTTTACTGAGGGCGCCAATATTCATATATATTCACGTTCATCATTACTTGTTTATTTTTCATTGATTTATTGATGTAACGTTATATGCTAATTTTTTCAGTATTGCTAAGTTCACGCATCACTAGTCGGCCGTAGCCTATGTAAATGGAAAGCCTTAGATATCTTATGAGAAAGAACTAACTGACGTCTAAGGGAATACTAACACCTTATAAGGGATATATATTTACCAATACAAGCACGGGTACAGTCATGGTATATCTCAGTATTTGCCAAGGTTTAAACTTTTCACTTTGGCTTCGCATACGGAACGAGAACGCAGTGTCAACCAGACGAAACGTAGAACGCAAATGATTTTATAAATTAGATTATACCCTCTGAGGATTATACCATGTAATTATACAGCTACTGTTATCGCTAACATGTACAATTACATCATTTTTTATTATGTGTATTCACTATTGTCTCTAGTTTTCACCGACGAGATAATTATGTAAGTGTATGTAAGGAATAACAAAGGCTGTATGATCATGGTGTCGCGAAGAAAGCATTTGAAATAAGCGCCAAATCCTAACCGCAATCATTTCCTCCATTGTCAAATAATAGTCTGTAAAATTTGTGTCAGTTCATATAATTTATTTTGAGCCAAAAAAATTAAATGCATGCATGGTGCAACTGCAAATTCATTTCATTTATAGCTGGAAGGCGGTTCAAGTTGTCAATATGATTATTTGGACGTTTATGATGGCAATTCTATATATGCGAAAAAACTGGGGAGGTTTTGTGGGCAGCAATCGCCAAGAAAGCTGGTATCATCTGGTTCAACGCTCTTCGTCGTATTTCATACGGACAGTATTATTCAGAAACAAGGGTTCGTTCTCAACTACACGGACACAAATGGTATGAAATAGTTATTTCAATATTTATTTCTATTTCTTTGCACAGCTCAAGTTTTTTTAGAGTTATATTCTTATTGTGCTTCACTTTATCTTCATGTCACGATTCTTACTATTACCTGTAATAACCCAGATAAAAGTTTACCACATTAATTTCTACGATATTTCCTTTATGAGAGAACGGAAATTCTGCAAGGTTATAAAATTTTATTATCGTTGCAACCAAGCTATAACGTGCTATAGTTTCTTTTATTATATTATATAGAATTTCTTCTAGCCTTACGCAGACTTACATGGTCATTTAAAATTTATTTTTATACTACAGTCTGTAATAATCTGACAATTTTAATATAGACAAATTTAATTGCCTTTGTAACTAGAAAATCTATTCTGCACTCAGAACGGGTTATTTGTATAGGTAATAGTAGGCAGTAGTGTAGCCAGGTTGACGATGTGTTTTGCTATGCTAATATTTTGGTGTTCATTGTCTTTCAAAACAATAAATTTCTAGGGAAATGAATAATTATAATAATTCAAAATCTACATAGCGGGACAAAATCGTCAGGCTGGCTACCCCACTAATAGTAGGCCTATGGTTTTGGGTGCAAATTGGATATATGTAACATGCACGAGTGAGTTTTTAAAGACGTCAAAATAGCACGAGGCCGAAGGACGAATGCTATTTGAGGTTTTTGAAAAATTGCCGAGTGCATGTTATATCCAAATTGCACTCGAGCCCATGCTATTACCTATACTAATCCCCGAGCCGGTGCGGAGCACCGTGCGAGGGTACTAATTCCGCCCGGAGATTAGGAATTACACCCGGGACCCGGGGGAACATAGCGGAATCCAAAGTCGCCTAAATTTGGACCATGGACGTTCAATGGTCATGGTACTTGTGCGCACGCGCAAATTTTGAACGAGTGACGAATGGTAATTAGCAACTTGCTGATTGGCTGACACGAAACGTTCGTGTTTCAGTGAAAAACGTCAGCAATTTAACTGTCATTTTGCAAACTATTCTTTTAAAAAAATGTTTCGAAAACACAATATGAAATGTTGAATGAAATAACAGATAAAACACTGGGAAGAGTTTAAAGTATTATCAGAACTGGAAGAATTAGCGGTGAAAAGGAAGAACTGGTTTATAATCCTTGAAATGGTAGGAGTCTATTTTGTTTATTTGGAGGTTTCTTTCGTGTTTGCTGTACGAATACATTTTATGACCTTGGTACAGTATGTCGTTTTGCTCTGTTTTGCGAAGACGTGACCGACTATTTAAGGCTTTACATCATCGTTTTACCTTCAAAAAGAGTTCTTAAACGTGTATTTTGGAGTTTAATATAACAAATATCACTTTAAAGGTTTATAGAGTCGACTGCAATCACTGCATGAATTTAATAATCGAAAAACAACATTCGACGTTCACTGCTTATTTATACTATTTGCGCTGTTTTAATGTTTTGAAGGTTTAGCTATAATGGAGTATTAACTCCCACTTAAACTGTGAAAGTCTATAACTTAATGCAACGGAAAGCAGCAGGAAAACGGGTGATTTCACTTCACCTTTACGACTGTGTTTGTTTCTGAAAAATTTGAAACATCAGCTATCGGCTTTACATTTAGGACATTTCATAATATTGAAGGTTAGGTCTGGCTAGCTCAGGAAGTATTTTGCTTCGTTTGAAATGGCGAGGGGTTGCTGCAAGCATGTATTTCTAGTATATATAATTTAATTGACCACTTGCGTATTAGCTGATGCCCGCTAAGGATGACGTTAGGAGTCTGTAGGCTGCTTTCGAACGAAATGGCTGCGGGATTAGCAAGCGATTTTGTCCGGGAGAAGAAACAGCTTCTTTTTGACAACATTTTGCATGGATCCATACCTTTTTGGGCGGAAAATTACGAGGCTATTTGGCACTGCTCATAGAGAAAATTAGAAGAAAATCGTTGCATTAGTGGCGAAGAAATTTTGTTGCAAAGACATCAAGTTGTCAACGCGCTTTCTCTAAATTTCTTCCCGAAAACTTAGTTTGGCAAAATGTTTTGAAGTGGTTTTTGCGCGAAAATATATCTGAATTAATTTAAATCAGTTGCTTGTAGCGATAACAGGAGAATATAAGTTGAATATGTTTATCATCGTTTTCTGCTGCCTTTTTTCCTCGAGTTGAGGTAGGCTTTGGTTCGTTTCCTCCTTTGTGAGCTGTAGAATTAATATTTTGATATTTTAGCTAGAGTATAAACATTGAGATTCATTGAGGTAGGATTGTTATAATTAGAATGATATATGAATAATTCATTTTGAAATGCCATAAATAAATTATATTTTAAATACATGCAAGATACACAGAATTAAACAAGTCATATATAACATGTACCTTGTACCATTGTTTGCCTCATGTGAAGCACTTCACATGAGGCAACAATGGTATACAGAGTCTAAAAGGTGGACAAGGGATGTACATGTCCTCCAACATTTACTTATGAGCCGTAAATGAAATATTGTGGTACTGAGCAACCTGGTGCACAAAAAGACAAGAAAGTATGCTATCAACTGTTTAAAGATAAATATCTTGGGAAAGTAGAAGTTAAAAAAATGTTACCAAAGGAACAATGTTGCTCTTCTTAGGGGCCGTGTAAATGCCGCAATGAAGAACAATGATATCTATATTGTATACTGATGTTCATTTAAACAAAGCTAAGTCAGAGGCTGTTTATACCAAGTTCACATGCACTGCAGGGAAGGGTGGGAAATGCAAACATATTGCTGCTCTACTCTTTCAAATAAGTGAGTAGCTACAAACAATTAACCCTGACAGAAATGCCAGATCAACCTACTTGTATCCAAGTACCGCAGCATGTTCCAAGGAGAGATGATTCAGACAAGCCAGTTCTTTATGAGAACATTGCATTTAAATGGGAATATATGTACCCATTTTTTTCTTTATTTCTTTATGTTTGAATTTTATGAAATGATAACTCTAGATTCCTTCTGTTATTGCTCTGACATTGTCAGTGTGGTATTCAGCAATATAATTGCCACATTCAAGTGACCCCAACAGTTTCATGTGAGGTGCTTGCATTTGCTTCATGTGCAGTGCTTGTTTCACCCACCATATATAATATTATTTAAACCTTTGTACTAAATGTTATATATGAGTTGTTTAATTCTGTGTATCTTGCATGTATTTACGATATAACTTATTTATGCAGTTTTAAAATGAATTATTTACATGTCTTTCTAATTATAACAATCCTATCTTAATGAATCTCAATGCTTATACTCAAGCCTCTCTCCTCTGCAGAGGTTTTTGTTGGGTTAGTCGGGTTTGTAAAGGGTTTTAAACCACAGGAAATTGAAGCGCGGGCGGCGGAACAGCGGAGGGGGAGAAGGCAAGAGAGGCGAAAACTTCTGCCAGATTTGAGGCCCAATATGGCGATCAAACCGTGCGATCTTGCGATCTCCATAATTCACGAACAAAGAGGCAACATGGCGTTTCTAAATTTGAATAATTCATGTCCTTGCAGAGAATTTCTTGTATTTTGGTGGAGCGGAAAGACTTGTTGCTGAATTTGTTGTAGCGAAGACTAGCCACGTTTTTTATAAAATAATGGCCTTCAGCATCATTACAGAATGATGCATAAATGCGCGGATTTTAGCGATGTGACAATAAATGAAGGTATTGATTCACTGCGTGAATTTGTGGTACCTGAAACCAGACAAATGTTTTGAATTGATACGTCCAATATATCGGATTTCAGAACTCGCAAGAGTCGTCGACCCCAACTCTCTATAGCAATAACGTCCAAAAACGACGCTTATATAAAAAAATAACGACGCGAGTAGAAAGTAAATAAAAAGTAAACGTTAGTAACTTTAGTATAAATCTCCCTCCCCAGCTGTTCCGCCGCCCGCGCTTCAATTTCCTGCGGTTTAAAACCCTTTACAAACCCGACTAACCCGACAAAAACCTCTGCGGAGGAGAGAGTACTCTAGCTAAAGTATCAAAATATTAATTCTACAACTCACAAAGGAGGAAATGAACCAAAGCCTACCTCAACTCGAAGACAAACGGCAGCAGAAAACGATGATAAACATATCCAACTTATATTTTCGTGTTATCGCTACAAGCAACTAATTTAAAGTCAGACATATTTTTGCGCAAGAACCACTTCAAAACATTTTGCCAGACTACGACCTTTGAAATCGTAAATTCGAACAAAATTTTGGCAAAGATATATCATTTTCATAACGCTCAAAATTGCATTTTTAAAACAATAATTTTCAAATAACCTTGAGTTACAGTGAGAAAAACTATCGGTTGAGCTTATTCTTTTTAACACGTAGCCGATCGCAAGTAGGAAACCAACAAACCTGTTTTAGTTCCTGTTCATACGTTTTTGCGAAGAAATTTAGAGGAAGCGTGTTGGCAACTTGATGTCTTCGCAACAAAATTTCTTCGCCACTAATGCAAAGATTTTCTTCGAATTTTCTCTATGAGCAGTGCCAAATATCCTCGTAATTTTCCACACAAAAAAGGTATGGATCCATGAAAAATGTTGTCAAAAAGATGTCGTTTCTTCTTCCGAACAAAATCGCTTGCTCAGGCTGCAGTCATTTCGTTCGAAAGCAACCAACAGACTCCTACCCTCATCTTTAGCGGGCATCAGCTAAAACGCAAGTGATCAATTGGTTCACAGTGATTGTACAAAATTGCTCTGTGACTACAGAAAATTGTAATTACATAAAATTGCACTGTCATTACAGACATTTGCACTGTGGTTTAGGATTAACCTAATTGAAATCAACCAATCACAGTAAAGTAATGCTTTTATATAAATTATTAGACAGTAAAAGCAGGATTAGTATTTTGAATCCGGCTTTTACAATTCGAATGTAACGGTTCGTTATTTCCGCAGAAAAGAATGATTGTTTGATGACGGATTTTCTAACATTTGGGTGACTTAAACCACAAAGAAACGAAGACGGAAAATGGCACAAATTTAATAAAATATTAAGTATAACTGAAAAACTAGCAACTAGATTTTCACTCACTACTAAATTGACTTTTTTTCTTCAGATTCAGATTCATGTGGAAATTTTTACCTGTATACTCCTGGCAGACTCACAAGTCCTCTTCATCCCTATTATTACCCAAGAAACACGGATTGTACTTGGATTATTTCTAGTACCAGTGCGGCAAATGTTTTACTGCAATTTTCATTCTTCTCGGTACGTCACATTTTGCTACCTTCGTAATATATCTTTTTTAACTTCGATAGTATTGGTATATTATTTTTGCCGTCAGTAGTATTTTTCACGAGGGGGCGGTGAACGTCGTCAAAGATTATAATTACGCAATCTTTGTCAATAAAAAATATTCTTGAGAAATAATCTTCTTAAGTCTTTGCCTAGCTATTAACTATTCCTAATTATTCCTACATGAAACAAGATTTCAAATAATCTTGTTTTTAAATCTGATGAAAGGATTGCATATTGTTCCAACTAAATTGTCCTAATTACAAATAACGCATGCCCTTACGAAATTGAAACAAAATTCTAACCAACGTTTTCTTGACTACAGATATTGAACTGATTCAAAACACACTTCAGTGAATAATTTCGACCTTATCCATTTTAAAGTGTCACGGGCCGTGTAAGTTCCTTAACTGAGGGGCCTATATTTATATATTCACGTTCAGCATTATCAGTTTCTTTTTAATTGATTTTTACGGTTTGTTCACAAGAATATATGAATATCATCAGCCCACTGCTTCTCCTCCCAGGTGTTCAATTTACTATGATATTTTCACAGTACTTTTAAAGTTACTAACTCTCCTAACGAATGCCCTCAAGTCGAAACGCCGAGAAATGTTTTGTCTATTTTAGGCAGTTGTTACACAACATTTGATCTTAAGTTACTTCTGCATGTTCTTACAAATTGGGTTTTTTAAATCACATAATTCAACACATAACCAATCGAAAACATTAATATATAAAAATTTACGTATATCATTTTTTTGCAATGTTCAATTTTTTTCCCAGGACCAAAATGATTGTAATCAGTGGCGTAACCAGAACGATAAGTGGGGGGAGGGTGAATATTCATATAATCATTCTGTTCCGCCTGACGGATTTGTATTGTAAGCTATTGCACTTGCAAAGAAATCCGCATGGCAGAGCTGGTTATACTATGAATATTCATCCCCCCCCCTAATTATCGTTCTATTACGCCACTGATTATAATTATCTTTCTTCAGTGCAAAATTTTCAACGGTTGTCAAATAACGTCTGTAAAATTTATGTCAGCTAGTTCATGTCAAACACTCAAACTAATTGATTGAGCCAGAAACATTCTAAATTGTTGAATTACAACTTCGACATGAAATTTCTTAATTTATAGCTGGAATACAGTTCGAGTTGTCAATATGATTATTTGGACGTTTATGATGGTAATTCTATGTATGCAAGAAAACTCGGGAGGTTCTGTGGGCAGCAATTGCCAAGAAAACTGTGGTCATCTGGTTCAAAGCTCTTCATCGTATTTCATACGGACGGTGGTGTTCAGAAACAAGGGTTTGTTCTCAACTACACAAGCACAACTGGTACGAATAGTTACAGCTCAAGTTTATTTTACAGTTATATTCTTACTGTGCTTCAACTTTTTTATCATGTCACGCATTCTTACTACTACCTGTAAATTTCCCAGATAAAAATTTACCACATTTGTGTCTACGAGATTTTGCTTTATGAGAGAACCGAAGTTCTGGTTAGAAATTTTTATTATTATATTATGGCATTCAAGCTATATAATAAGTTATATTTTCTAGATCTTTTATTCATGATTTCTTCTAGCCTTAGGCAGGCTTTAAGGATATATTTGAGTAAAGTATTACCAAATGGTTTTCCCCGCAAGATGGAGTGATCCATGTACGTACGAGGGATGTTGCGAGCCGCAGGGGAGTGTTTTTATACGCTTTCCGAAAGTCGAGCAACATCCCGAATACATGCATGGATGACGCTATTTTGCGCGAAAAAACTCTTGGTAAAAGTTTTATAAAATAACTACAGTGAAAAAACAATATTTTGAGAATCCCAAGAAAATCCTTCGAGTGCTTTTAAATTCCTAATGAAGGATTACATGTTCCTGCATGGCTTGCCTGATCCTGCATCAAATTGCGGGTTTCAGTGTAGTTGTTATATAAAATTTATCCTTATTCTTGTTGAAAAATCTTTTCAACAACATCTGTAATAATCAGACATTTTTAATCGTCTCATTGGATTGCCATTATAACTGGAAAATCTATTCTGCCCTCAGAACGTGTTATCAATTTTGATCTCTTAGGTGAAAGCTGGTTCAGTTTTTTGAAATTGTGTTATTGGAATGTGATGGTTCTTAATTACGCAGACACGAATGTGTGCATGATGAGGAATTTTCTAACATTTGGGTGACTTAAACCACGAAAAACCAATAAGGAAAATAGCACAAAATTAATAGAATATTAGGTATAAACAAATAGCAACTAGAGTTTTACCCGCTACTTAATTCACTTTTTTTCTTCAGATTCAGATTCATGTGGAAATTCTTATCTGTATACTCCTGGCAGACTCACAAGTCCTCGTTATCCCTATAATTACCCAAGAAACACGGATTGCACTTGGAATATTTCTAGTAACAATGCGACAAATGTTTTACTGAAATTTTCATTCTTCTGGGTACGTCACATTTAGCTACCTTCGTAATATATCTTTTTCATCTTCGATAGTATTGGTATATTATTTTTGCCGTAATATTTTTCGCGAGTGGGCGGAAAACGTCGTCAAAGAATATAATCAAGCAATCTTTGCCTATAAAAAACATTGATTCAAATAATGATCACTCTAAATTCTGAACCTTATTCCGAAGAAATAATTTTCCTAAATCATCGCCTATTATTCCTAATTATTCCTACATGAAACAATATTTCAACCAACCTTGTTTTTGAACTCTGATGGAAGGATTGCATATTGTTCAAACGAAATGGTCCTAACTACAAATAACGCCTTCTTTTACAAAATTGAAACAAAATTTAACCAACGTTTGCTTTACTACAAATATTTAATTGATTCAAAAACACTACAGTGTCTGTGAATGATTTCATCCTGATCTATTGTAAGGTGCCAGACGCCGTGTAAGATCCTTAACTGAGGGCGCCAATATTTATATATCTACGTTAAATTTTTTTCACGGTTTGTTCACAGGAATATATGAATATCAGCCCCCTGCTCCTCCGCCCTGGTCTTCAATTTTCTATGATATCTCGCTGTATCGCACCACTTCTAGAGTTACTAATTTAACTGACTATGGCCCTCGGACCGAAACGCCGAGAAGTATTTTGTCTATTTTAGGCAGTTGTTGTACAATATTTGATACACATAACCATCCGGAAAAATTAACTTATCAAAAATTTACGTATATAATTTTTAATTCTGGGGTGTAACTAAACGATCATTGGGGGGGGGATATATTAATTCATACATTTATTCTCCCTGACGGATTTTTAATGTAAGCTATTGCACTTACAAAAGAAATCCGTTTGGCAGAACTGGATGCATTATATGAATATTCATCAACACACACCCCCCCCCTCCCAATTATCATTCCAGTTACGCCACTGATTATATTTATCTTTCTTCAGTGCAAAATTTTCAACGGTTGTCAAATAAAGTCTGTAAAATTTATGTCAGCTAGTTCATATCAAACACTAAAATTAATTGATTGAGCCAGAAACATTTTAAATGGTTGAATTACAACTGCGACATTAAATTTCTTAACTTATAGCTGGAAGGCGGTTCGAGTTGTCGATATGATTATCTGGACGTTTATGATGGTAATTCCATGTATGCAAAAAAACTCGGGAGATTCTGTGGCCAGCAGTTTCCAAGAAAACTGGTGTCATCTGGTTCAAAGCTTTTCATCGTATTTCATACGGACGGTAGTGATCAGGAACAAGGGTTTGTTCTCGACTACACAAGCACAATTGGTAGGAATAGTTACAGCTCAAGTTGTTTTACAGTTATATTCTTATGGTGCTTCAACTTTTTTATCATGTCACGCATTCTTACTATTACCTGTAAATTTCCCAGATAAAAAATTACCACGTTTTTTCTACGAGATTTTGCCTATAACGTGTCATATTTTCTTTTATTATATAAAATTTCCCCTAGCGCTTGGCAGACTTACATGGTCATTGAAAATTTATTCCTCTTCTAGTTGAAAAATCCCTGCTTACGTTGTCAGTAATAATCTGACATTATTAGTAGACGAATTGGATAGCCTTTGTAACTAAAAAATGTATTCTGACCTCAGAACGGGTTATTTGTATGAGTAATAGTATGGTTTCGAGTGCAATTTGGATGTATGTAACATGCACGCGTGAGTTTTTCAAAGACCTCAAAATTGCACGAGGCCAAAGGACGAATTCAATTTGAGGTTGGATGTCATATTCTAAGGTCACCTATTCAATCAAACTAAATATATACATTAATCTATAAATATAACACCATAGTAACCATCTAGATATGCTCCTGCATCTTTTAGCGTTTCGGTGCATGCCCACTGTAACTGTGCTATTAATGTGTTGTCTTAATGCTATCTATCACGTTTTATATAGGTAGAAACGTAACAATCTGCACGAAAAAGATCGATCTTGGGTTTGTAATGGACAGTTCTGGCAGCATTGGATTTGATAATTTTAACAAAAGCAAATCGTTTTTAAAAGATTTTACGGATTATTTCAAAATTTCTCCAAACGAAACAAGAGCGTCTGTGATAACATATGCGACATGGCCAACATTACATTTTCGATTTTCTCGAATATTCAAAACGCGACAAGATCTTTATTTGGCAATAGATAACATTCCATACAGCGGAGGGGGAACGAACACCGCAAGGGCTTTAACAAAAGCATATATAGATATGTTTGATACACGGAATGGTGCTAGAATTTCAGGTATTTGATCATTTGATTTTGTAATTATTAATCATTTTACTTATTATATTTCAAAAAATCTCGTGCTATTATTATATGTAAGCTGGTCTTACAAATATCATAGATTGTAAACAAATTAATTACGATACCAATTTCAACTTATGTTTTTTCTCTGGCATAGTATACAGTACTGTCCAGAAATAACCTAACACTGCGGTTGTGCGGTTCGATTGCGGTTCGGTCGCGGTTCGGTTGCTTTCGACCGATAGAAACCGCAGACGACCGTAAGGGAAAAAATTTCATCGCAGTGGCCGTTTGCTTCCGAACGAAATGTTATAAACAGTTGAGGACGACAATACCATAACCAATTAAAAAAACCCTTAGGAAATGCCTGTCCAACCGAGCCGAGCTATAACATCTGTTTCACCGCGGTTCGACCTCGGTCTGACCTCGCTTCATCTGCTATGAGACCGAGGTTTGACCTAGGTTAACCGCTGTTTTTGTAATAGGTTATTTCTGGACAGTACTGTATGTTTAGTTTTAAATCAATATTTCGAGAAACGAGACTTTCAAAAGAATGTCGACTATTTACTTCTAGTTTTAAGTACAAAAGTTTATTTCATTAAATTGTATCGGCCGGCAAAACTCTACCATTTTTCACCGGACTTATCAAAACCTGTGTCACTCATACCAAATCAACGAATTTTGCGATGGGACGAAAGAGATAAATTTGCCCACCAGCAAAATACAGGGAAACTGCGTTGTCATCTAACATATTAAACGAACGCAGATCAGCAAAAGCCGTTTTTGCAAAACTTCCGTATTTTTGTTCTTATGCTTGCTATTAATAATATTTAGGAATAAAGAGAATTTTAATAGTTTTCACTGATGGAAAAAGCAGTGGAAATGTTTATTATCCTTCTCAACAACTGAAAGACATGGGTGTCATAATATTCTCAATTGGAGTTGGTTCAGGAATCGATGTTTTAGAGCTCAAAACAATGGCTTCCTCTCCTGCAAAAGACCACGTGTTCCTACTCCACAATTTCAATCAATTCGCACATTTGGCTCACAATATGTCATTTAATGCTTGCAATGGTATGTTATTAACATCTGTTGTGCATTGAAAAGAATTGGTAAAATGGTATTATATCTCTCATTCATGTAGTGTTGAAATTAAACGGATCTTTTTTTGTTACAGGTAACACCACTAACATAACGCGCGGTAACTTTTTAACATTATTTTATAAAGTTAAGTTATTTTAAGAAACAATAGAAAATGGATTTGTTAAAGAAATTTTAAAATAATGTTTCAGTAATGGGGTGAGCACTGAAAAGAATAGATTAAATATCTGATAAATTATATTATACAAACGAAGTTAATGGGGTATAAGGCTCTTTCTTTTCTTCTTTTATAGCCTCCACCACACCACATCTCAATACAGGTACCATTATAACTCATTCATGTACTGCGTAGTGAATATCTTAAATATTTAAGAAACAATAGAAAATGGATTTGTTAAAGAAATTTTAAAATAATATTTCAGTAATGGGGTGAGCACTGAAAAGAATAGATTAAATATCTGATAAATTATATTATACAAACGAAGTTAATGCGGTATAAGGCTCTTTCTTTTCTTCTTTTATAGTCTCATCCACACCACTCCCCAATAGAGGTACCATTATAACTCATGTACTGCGTAGTGAATACATTAGATATGAAAAAAAATTCACATAACTCAATATTTGCAGCAACTGGAGTTTTACCCGTTCTACTTTTTTTGCTTTTCTTTTTCAGCTTCATGTGGTAATATTTATCTGTATACTCCTGGCATACTCACAAGTCCTTTTTATCCTAACGATTACTTGAGCAACACGAATTGTACTTGGATTATTTCTAGTACAAATGGGACATATGTTTTACTGCAATTTTCATTCTTCTCGGTACGTCACATTTAACTATACCTTCGTAATATGTCTTTTTGCCCTATGAGTGTGTGCGCGGTAAACGTCGTCAAAGATTATAATCAAGCCCTTTGTTTACAAATGATATTAATTAAATTAATGATCACTCTAAATTCTGAACATTGTTCCAAAGCAATAATCTTCTTCAATCATCGCCTGGAATTATTCTTATATGAAACTTTCAACAAACCTTATTTTTAAATCTTATGAAAGGACTGCACATTGTTTCTACTAAATAGTCCTAATTACAAATAATGCCTTGACGAAATTGAACGATCCTATTTAAGCAAATATATTTTAAATAAATATTAAAAGTTTAAATATTTATTCAGTAATTAAAAAAAAACTCTATAATAGTTAAAACCTCTGTAGTGGTGGTACTACAACTTTGATATGGAATTTCTTAACTTATAGCTGGAAGGCGGTTCGAGTTGTCCATATGATTATTTGGACGTCTATGATGGTAATTCTATGTATGCAAAAAAACTGGGGAGGTTCTGTGGGCAGCAATTGCCAAGAAAACTGGTATCATCTGGTTCAAAGCTCTTAATCTTATTTCATACGGACAGTAGTATTCAGAAACAAGGGTTTGTGCTCAACTACACAGACACAAATGGTACGAAATTTTAAATTTTTTCATCTCAAGTTGTTTTACAGTTATATTCTTATTGTGCTTCAACTTTATCTTCATGTCACGCATTCTTACTATTACCTGTAAATTTCTCAGATAAAAATTTACCACATTCGTTTCTACGAGATTTTCTTTATGAGAGAACGGAAATTCTTGTGATAAACTTTTATTATTATAGGAGTCTTTTATTTATAATTTCCCCTAGCTCTAGCCTGGCTTCCATGGTATATTTGAGTAAAAGATTGCCAAATAGTCTTAAACTCGTTTTTCCCGCGAGTGCTTATTAATTCCCCGTGAATTCCTCATGCTGATCCTGCATCAAATTGCATGTTTCACTGTAGTTATTATACAAAATTTATTCTTATTCTACTTGAAAAATCTCTCCAACATTTTCTGTAATAATCAGATATTATTAATGGTCAAATTGGATAGCTTTTATAACTGGAAAATCTATTATTTGATCGGGTTATTTGATCCCTTAGGTGAAAGCAGGATCAGTATTTTGCTATTGGAATTTGACGATTCGTTATTTCTGAGGAGAAGATTGTGTGCATGAAAATATTGGTGACTTATACACCACAAAAATGTAGAAAATAGTACAAAATTAATAGAATATTAATTATAAACTACTAATACATTGTTCTATTTCCTTTAAAGATACCAATAAATGTTCTGGAGCCCCGTGTGCTCCCTATGCAAACTGCACAAAAATTAATGGTTCGTACGTTTGTGTATGTAAACCTGGATATATAGGAAATGGGACAAGCTGTACAGGTATAAAAGTCACCTTGCTATTTCTACATGAAGTTCTATTATGTTATGAAGCTCCATCTATATGTACCCGTTATGCCCGTGAACCGATTCTGTCAATGATTTTTTAACGACGTGTGTCCAAACCGTGGAGATCGCACAGGTTTCACGTTTGAATATTGACAAATTCACAGCACAATGTATAGTGTATTGTGAAAATTTTTTGAAGGGTGGGAGGAAACCAAAGCTTTCTTCTAATACAAATTTGAGGTTTCGGTGAATGGCGCTGCATGGTTCTTTTTTTCATGACGAACAAACTGTGATCTATTGGCCTAAACAAATGCGTTTTTCACGCTTCAGATCTTCCTGAAAAACATTATTATAGGGTAAAAAAACCAATTGGTTACAAAATAAAAGCTTAGGATTCATTGTATAGTGAAGCGCATAAAATTAATTATCAATTGACCGTATTCTGAAATGTTAAGATAATATAAGATTAATTAACCTTCTTCGACAAAACAAAAACAGGGGTATATGTTACGCATGATTTAGAATAGATCTAGGAGGAAAGTAATTACATATAATGCCGTCATTTTATCGTTAGGTCAGGCAAATTCTCCGCAAAACACTGAAATTAACCTTAGATTTGATCCTTCGTTTCTCGTTACCCAATATAAGTTGGAATAAAATCTATCCCTTCTGAACTTAAAGTGCCTATATCACTTGTGGGATCTTACGGATTTGAATAGAGCTTGAAAATTAGTTTATAAGTTCTACAACTCTTTTTGATATAGTTAAATAGTTTTGAAAGTATTTGCATCTAACATGACGATTTGGGTAAATTTCGGTGGTGCTCGGGAGCCGCTGGGACTCAGGAACCGAGTTCTTGTCAAACATGATATAATCAATTGTAATTTTACTTCGATTTTCCAATAATGTAAAATATTTTGAGAAAAACTCGCCCAGTTGCTACAGCTATAAACAACGCACCGTTCCCACATTTTTTTCTTGAAAAGCGCAAACTATATCGCTAGTGAAACTCTTCATGTTTACATTATAAAAGACGGCGTGTTTGCAAATCATTCCTGAGTCCCAGTCCCCCCAACCAACGTATTTTTGAAACTATTTAATTATACCAAAAAGAGTTGTAGAACTTATAAACTAATTTTTCAAGCTATTTAAATCCGTAAAGATCCCACAAGTGATATAGGCACTTTAATCCAGCAGCAAGTTGCTTCTTCAATACTGCGTTACTTTAAATCCATTTTAGATTAATAACCCTTGACACTTCATTCATTTTCTCTTCATAGATATAAGTTTTCTATGAGATATAAGTTTTCTCGATAATCACAATTAGCTGATTTTTTGTGGTTGAAAGAAAATAGATGTGACTTTTTCTCAACCTCATTGAGTGCGAGAAAGTCCTTGTGATCTAAATACAAACTTTATTACATTTATGAGGCAAATGAAAAAAGTTTACATCAGATTAGTATTCGCTATTTAATTTCTAGCAATACACCCTTCCGGACAGCTCGTCACATGGCTATAGAGCTTCGCTTTCTTAAAGGAAATTTGGCTTAGGGCCTTTATTTTGTTCAGTAGGTTGCGAAGTGATCTTATTTTTACGTAACACATTAACTATACTAAGCACTCATGATCACATGAGGGTGCAATGCCTTTGTTAGGGAATTCGCTGTAGATGATTAATATTTATACGCGTACTGGCCCTGAACGATTATCGGATAATAGTCTTTAAAATGAAAATTAATTGTGCCATATCCCGGGTACTGTAAATGTTCCTGCTGAGAGTTGGTATGAAGGCAACGGCTGCCAATGTACAAGTACACATTGCATTAACACGTAAATTATGATTTTTTGACAGAAAATTCATCCAATCAGATCTACGTCCACCACTTAAGTAACCATGCACTTTAGAGTCTCGAGACAATAATGCAACACCTTTTCAGTTTCATCTAATAATTATACGGAGCGCAATTACGGCTGACCCCAATTGTCTCAGCCTATACATGCCAAAGCAAACCCATAACAAAAAAATAATAAAATGCATGAAAAACCGTGCAAAATCAAATTTTATCCAAACACACGCTATATTTTACAGTTTAAATTAAATTTATTGCCACTGATTGTCATGAGTTAGGATCAGTTCCAGTTGGTATACCTTGGTTCGCATCTATTTTAAGATATCGATGAATGTAATGGCCCTAATAACTGTTCCCCGAACGCTGTCTGTCATAATGTAGTCGGGTCGTACACGTGTGATTGTAGTCATGGATATCACGGTGATGGAACTCGTTGTGGTAAGTAACTTTATCTTTTAAAATACTGTCGCATGCTCAAAATAATCAAGATATTAAACTTAATGTATAAAATATAAAACATTATAATAAGTATAACATTTATAGTTCGTGCGTGTTGATTGGTCGAGAAGCGTGTTTCTACTTAACAATTAGACAACGAAGGCGAGTTGTCTAATTGTTTTAGTATACACCCTGTACCTAGATATATTTATTTCGAGAAAATAATCGATATCCCGCAATTACACCGAAAAATAATTTAAATAATTCAATTTTATACGGTCGCGCGAGTGAATTTTTCCCATCACGAATAGACAATGGTTGAGTAGACAATCAGAATGTTGGATTTGTAAAAGACAAGAGTCTGGTGTATACTAAAACTGTATAGAAACACGGGAATTTTCCCGCCGAACTTGACAAGCAAAGCGATGTAATGAGAATTTGTAATTGAATCGAACTATATATAATATTTGTACAAAATCGGTCTTTACCGAGAAATATCGGACCTCAATATTTTTGTACAAACTTTGCTCTTCGAGCTAGGTCTGTTTGAAAAGGCCTCGGTCCCTATATTTCTCGGTAAAGATCTCGCGCTCGGTTAATAAGAAGTTAATCGTTTTTAAAGTACACGGTTTTTTACGGAGTTTTTATTTTAATATTTTACATTTTACCAAAATACTCAGTATAGTTCCCGCACTTTAAACTCAATGGTTTTCTTTTACAAGATTCCCTAATATGCAAAACGATAAATGTACCTAAATATACCTAAGAATACTTAAGCATACCTAATATTTTTCAGCCTTGAATTTTGTCGCGAGTGACACTCTGCAGTCCCCCCCCCCCTCCAGCGTTTGTGAAATCTGCCTTAAAAGTCGATCCGAAAGCCTGCATCCGATGACAAAAGGATATCATATGATTCATATCCGATGATATCTGACTTGTTTAAACTCGAAGGAACTTTTTTGTCTCAAACCTTTGACAAGAATAACCAGAAAATGCACAATAGATAAAGTTTTAACTGTCTTCCTGCAAACTCCTTTTAGTCCCCTCAAAAATGAGATAAAATGTTTAAAATTTAAAATTGTGTCATTCATCAGTTGATCAAATTTTCAAGAAAAACGCTGTGATAAAAAGACCTGAAAAAAATTAATGCTCGGTTATGGAAATCTAGAGCAATCAAGTTCAATCTCAGCCCTTGAGAGTGAATTTATCACAGCGGGGCGGTGGCATTTAACAGAATTACGCTTTCATCTGTTCACCAAATCGGGTAGTTTTTGCAGTGATAGATAGTCTCATAAAAAATCTTAACCCGTACACTAATGAATTGGACACGGATATGACCAGGTCTGGCCGTACTGTGCCAATAAAAATACCAAATAAAAATAAACATTGCGTAAGTCGGTCACAGATCATATGCGACACCCTCCAGATATTTTTTATGGAACTCCACGCCGATTTAGTTAAAAATGTCCTATTTTCCAGGACAGTACGTGGTTATAGCTATCTTTGATCATGATTATAGCTTTCGGGGATACATAGCCATATGCTAATTTCATTGTTTTTTATAGACGATATAGATGAATGTAGAGACCAACCACAGAAATGCACGGGTGCAGGTGAATCGTGTACCAACTATCCCGGACGATACCGCTGTGGGTGTATCAGTTCAGGCCAGCAATTTATTGATAACAAGTGTACTGGTGTGTATAATTTAATCCACAATCTTAGGTGACTTCAGTTATTTGACAACGTTAGAAAGTTGGTGGATATTTTGCCCACTTTATTCACCGCATATATATGCAGCAAAAAATCATTTTCTTGTCGAGAGAATATATCTATATTAAGAATTTTCTTCTTATGTAAAGAAGAATTTTTCTTCAACAGATAATTATTTTTTCTAACTCTAGGATATAAAATCTCGTTTAGAAAGTAATTTCTTAAAATAAGAAATTAGTCAGGCCACAAATTTACAGATTTTAACACAAGAAATTATATTCTTATGAATTGGAATTTTTTTCTTAAACTGAAAAAATAATTTCTTGATATAAGAAAGATTATCTTAACTTCTGAAATTCTCAATATGAGAAAATTCATCTTAAGCAATATCCCAAATATTTCTTAAAATAGGAAAGCTTGTCTTATCTGATCCTCGTTTCAAGAAAATAATTTCTTGGAATAAGAAGATAATAAGAAAAAAAGAGCTAAATGGGGTATAGTAAAAAAATACTATAATTTCCGCCTGCCATTGTAAATTATATCTGGCTAAGTCTTTTGTACAAACAATTTTTACAATATAGAACTCTTTAGAAACAAATGTCATCATGAGAGAAATGTATCACAATTTCAAAATATCATGGAAAGGAGCATTGATTGCCACATAACGTCGTGTCGAGTGCGCGACATATCGCGCGTGATCCCGCGGTTCCAACAAATAGCGCTAACGGAGTTAAGAAGCGCGTCCTTTTTCAAATTTTCTTCGCTGTCCGTGTGTAAAGGCGATTTTCCATTGAATGCAAAATGTCGCGTGATCGACTTTTTGTTATCGACAATTTCTATCAACTGTGTGTTGCACGAGTTATTTCATAAAATTAGCGTAGAAAGTTAGGTCTGGGTAACGCACGAAATATTTTGTTTCGTTTAAAATTGCGAGGGGTTGCTGCATCCATGTATTTCTAGTTCTAAAACAAGAAATCTATTTTTCTTATTATGAGAAATATTTTCTTGCACAAATTCTTTTAATTAAAATTTTTTTCTCGCTGATCTCCTAAAGCAAGAAATGTCTTGTTTCAAGAAAATATTTCTTGAAACAAGTTTCTTTTCCTGGAAGAAGAAAACGATTTTTTGCTGTGATTGCGTTCGACGAAGGAGAACGCTTCCTAGCCGTGTCATATCGAGATTTGCGATGTCAGATTTGCCTCGTTCTGATGTGTCGTCAGAGTAACTGGAGACCATGTGCTCGCTCTATTTTGACATTTTTACTCATTTTGCGGGTAACCTTTTGAATCACATACGCTGTGAGCCTGTGACGTTTAATGTTAAAATTTTTGTTAATGATCGTTAACCGAAATCAACACATTCCGAACGCACATCACTAATCTGTGATTACTGCTAGTATATATAAATAAACGTTAACAATGACGACTACATTAGAGACTAACGTTAGGCTAGGTTTTAGCGGTGTGTAGCACTGAAAAAAATCATTTAACTCGACAAAACATGGCCGCCAGGAAAAGAAAATCACATGCATGGCAAATCAGTCGACTGTTAAAAAGTTGATTAAATTAACGAGTCACAATAAAGATAGATGATGCTAATTATTTTATCTCTGCCTTCATTCCGTGCAATCTTTCACTCTTCTTCATAGATATTCAGGCATCCGTTCAAGGTGAATTCCGAATAATAAATCGCAAATACATCCCTGCCTTTAATAATAAAAACAGCGCAGAGTATTTTGAGTTTACTGAAATGTTAATTAATGAGGTGTGTATCATGTCGTCAATATAATTTATTTATACAACTATTACCTAAATATCGGGTAATACAATTTTACCATTGGGAAGGGAAGGAACAGAATGCAGTATTTATGAAGAGGAGTTTCTTCCTTGCCTTCAGTTGCACCTTTCCTGTGACCAATTTGGTGGTTTTAGTACTTCAGTCTGAATACTAATAAAAGCTATACTTAATTACCGTCCATTTAGCTAACAAGCCTTTACAGGAGGACACCGAAAATACACTCCACCTTCCGTTTAATCATCATATTACGACTGTTGTGAGTACTTTTGTGACTATCGTGACGACTATCCATTTTATTTCAGTTCACGCTTTCCACTTGCAACATCCCCTGATCATAGCTCACGAAATCTAGCACTGTAAAAAATCTGGTAGTCCTTCAATCAAAAAGTTTAATAAAATTCGAGCCTGGTTATATGTTTTATCCCAAAATATATATATTATTTGATACAAGCCGAATTTCCTATAAAACTTGCTGTATTGCTATATTATCCATTATTCGTCTGGTATACCGCCCCCTCGTTACGCGTGGTTCTTATATATCACCGACGAGAACCAGGCTTAAAAGAGAGAGTACATTGGAATGTTACCAAAATTGCTTAGACTTTAGGAAATGTTTTCAGTTGTTATTGATCTTATGCAAACCAGACACACACATCCATGGCCGTCGCTAGAAGCTAAATGGGATGGGGGGTATAATATTATATTCATGTTCGTATACAACTATATACAAATAAAAGAAATGACAAAATAAAATTTGGGTATAACACGAATATATGAATATGCACCTCTCCCAATTAAGCTTCTAGCGACGCCGTTAATGTCGTAAACATTACGAATTTTTGCGATGCAAGCTTTGAAATTCAGAGTTCAAATTTTATGTAAATTAGGACAAGTTTTAGAATGATACTTAACGATTTGAATCCTTTCGTGGTTTCTATGAATTCCTAAAAATTTCTTGTTCAATATGTAGCTCAGTAATAAGAGAAATTGAAAAATGCTTTAAATTAAAAAAATTAAAATTCTAGTCCTGGGTCGGTTGGCTTCGATTACGTGGCAACATTCAGCGATAAAAAGGGCATAGATCTGGAAAATATTCAGGATGAGCTGGCACATTCACTACAAGTCACACATGATGGAACATTCCTTGGCAACGGTCTCAAAATAAGCGACAGTACGAATATCACTGAAGTGGGAAAACGTCTGAGAGTTCAAGGTAAAAAGGAAAGAAAACCAGTAAAGTAAATGCAATGAAATTTTTGCACGTTTGCACGCTTATATAGGAAATTAGATGAAAGAATGTTGCCGGGAACATTAAACATTAAATTTGTAATTCGCGAAGCATTTTTAACATCTTCCTGTTCGACCAGCCCGTTCAAAATTCTTCCGTAGCTTTATTATTGCGAAGTGAGGGAACAGTGTATCCGCGAATAGTTTTCAATTGTTTGTTTATATTGCGTCAAATAACGCTAAAATCGTTAGAGGGAAGTAAGCGTGGTAAATTCACACCTCCACATTTTTCGATCAGCCACATAATGAGAACTAGCACCACTCTGAACTTTTCTATCATTTTAAAGGAACGACATGATTATTTACAAAATTCACTTACGGATTTTTGTTAAGTTTATTATATCTCAAGATATTTTGGAATGAAATTGTCAGCCATGCATCCGCGCCAACTGGAATGCATCACGTCGCATGACACTAAATTCCTTAGAGGGAAATTAAGTTTTATGACCAATAAAATAATTTTGTCATACATCATTCTAAACTTGCAGATGCCGAAGGAGTAAAAATTATTAGTCGTCCTTATAATAGCACTTATACTAAAGCGAGGCTTGGTGGTAAAGGCAGTAGCAATATAGCTTGATTTTCTCTCAATTTTGACTGGTGAAGGGAATCCGCTACGGTCGAATTCTTGCATTTGAAAAGAAAATCGAGCGAAAAATTTCGTTCGATCGAAAAATTCTGCCTGATGGAAAACCGCCTTTAGTAACGACACGCTCTTTGTGACACGTTTCCCTGGTTGGAAGAGATGTTATTAACGATGCCTCATGCCATGCATGTCAAAACAATGTCATTTACGCACTTTTAGATATCGACGAGTGTTCCGAGGATAGTAATTCCTGCCCGCCTAATTCTGAATGTAAAAATACAATCGGATCTTTCATATGTTCCTGTAATTCTGGATACGTTGGTAATGGGACAATTTGTCAAGGTTAGTTCACAGTTTCTAACCGGTAAATAATTTCACACAGACCATGGCCTATGATGTACTTCCTCTAGCTAGCTAATTTCATATACAGTAGTTTCTCTTAATCAAAACATTATTAAAAAAAACCCGAGAGGTGCAAGGGATGATGTACATAATTACGAATTAGGAATTTGAATTAAAGAGCTTAAAAAACACCATTAAAATTATTTTGGGTTATCGTTCTAAAGGAACGAGATGATTATTTACCAAATTAATTTATGGATAGTTTGTTGACTTTATCACTTCTCAAGATATTTTTGAATGAAATTTTCAGCCATCCGCGCGAACTGGGACATGCATATATTCTTCATCTGATATGCATGGCGTCTTTACCTGGGTAAATTTTGTTTCGTATTCAAATTTCAAATTAACGATCCCGCTCGAAATGATAGCTTAAGGGTATTACAATCGCACGCAGTATAGCGTATAGCCAGCCTGTCGATTTGTCCCGCTATGCTAATATTTTGGTGTTTATTGACTGTGAAAATAATAAATTTCTAAAGAAATGAATAATTATAATCACTCGAAATCTACATAGCGGGACAAAATCGTCAGGCTGGCTACGCCACTGATCGCACGTATCTCAAATTATATAACGTTTGAATTGAGTAAACATGCATGCAGTTGTTATTTTTGATCATGAGGCGTCAACCGTTAATAAAAAACAGGCTTTATATCGGAAATGTAAGTTTCCTTTTCAAAAAGACAAAAATATTTTTATTGCAATGTCCATTAACGAGCTGATAATGTTGACAACCTATCATCCATTGCGCACTCAGTGTTCAATATTTGAGATTTTTAGTGAACAACCTTAATCACACAATTGTTGTGTTTGGAACTTTATCCCCAAAGAAAATAGCAAAAATCATAATAAAGTAATCGTTCTAATGAGTATATTCACAGTTTCAGAAATATCGAAGGAACCGACTGAGCACGGAACTAAATGGTATATCTTCGTAATAATAATTGTGGCTGGAATTGTCATCGGGCTTTTAATTGCATATGTTGTGGCATGCCTTCGTCGTCGATATTTGAAAAGAAAAGTTTTATGTAATGCCGATGTTCAACATTCATATCAGAATTCAGTTTACGAATTAGATGTTGCGAAACTTGAGGACAACGTTTATGAGTCTGGGGGGACTGCCAGCCGCGAGAGTTCTCCACCTTATGAAGAGTTGAGTGATGTAAGAGATCCCGAGAACACTTATGGAAGTCTAAAATAGCTTAACGCCACGAGACGAAGAAAGCAGGCATTTTTATAGAAAGGAAAAGTTTCGCTGAACTAAGGAACAATTTCTTATAAAATTTGATTAGCATATAATTTTTAGCTAAAATTAAAGTTAGAAGTAGAAGTTGCTAAGCGACAATCACATGCATAATGATTAATTTACACGGAAATGATTCATAAATCAAGAAAAAATGAATGTATTCTTATCCACACACTATACATAGCATAGACAAGCCGCTATGGCTAATAGTCAAATGCACGTTTGCATAACTAGAAGCGTATAATTAACCCTGACTCTTTGCTTTCACTATAATTATTAGCATGCATAATAGATGGATTAGTTCATTGACTTTGAAATAAAAAAATTTCTAACAAAGATAGATGAATAATTATCTCGTAAAGTGTCTCTGAATAAAAACCTATTTTTGAGAAAATATCTACGTCCACACCACTTGGAAAGCACCGGATCTCGAATTCAGTAAAACAATTCGCGCGAAGTTATTGGTAGCCTCTCTTTCCACTGCTCAAAATCGAGTCGCTGCCCCACGTTTATATATATGTGTTTAAAGTTCAAAGATGAAACTATGTTGGAGTATAAATATGGAAGTGATACCCCACCTTCATTGCTTTTTGTGAAACAATTGTTTCCATGCATGTTTTGCGCTTGATACCAAGCGGAAACAATGAAATGATTTATGGGTTTAAACCTTTAAGGAAAGCCACATTTTTATTCGGCACCTTCTCAAAATAGTTATTTCCAATCTTCAGCAGCTTGCACTAAGCCGACGGAGCAAAAACGGCAAGATAGTAAAAATTGATTGGCTAAAACCACTCACATCAATATTTTATTAGTGAAATAAACTGAAGCTTTTCTCTCCAAAGGCGACATGCATATTTTCCACGTATTCTACATTATCTAACTCTTTCGGTCAATTCCCTGTATTCGCAAAGCAACTCAAACTTTAATAATTGTGTAACAGTATAAATTATTTACATCTATCCGCGCGCAGAGCGAGCGGAAACAATGAAATGACGATTTTATTCTTCAGCAAAGTGTACTAAGTTGATGAATTAAAAATGACGAAGATAATTTTCTTTTTATTGATATTAACTGTACGAATGCTAAATTGAAAAGACAGAAACGTTCCAATCGTTTTTCCAGGTCCAAATCTTCGTAACAAACTCTGATATTCTGCACTGAATGTGTCTTAGCATCAAATGTGATATAACAACTCCCTAAAATAGAGAAAACACTTCTCGACGCTTCGACCTGAGGGCCTCCGTTAGGAGAGTAACTAACTCCCTCCGGTCGAAATCTCGAGAAGTTTCTTTGTCTATTTTAGGCAGTACTTGTTATACCACATTTGATGCAAAGTTGTTTGAAGACGCTGCCACGCTGTCCCCTTGTTATATTGCATCAATTTCAAAGAAAAAACTTTGTTCTTCTTAATTTTTTGTTTAAGTTGCGTTTCGTTATCCCTATTTCATCGTTTTATCGCCGTTTCCGTTTCCCGCTGCTTTAATAACGCTTAAATAATTAAGGAATTAACAACGCCATGCCTCTGACACTTTAATTCTAAGATACAGAGCTTTATTCTGTATAAGACTACGTTTACACTACTCCGGATCGGTCTGAAAACGGTGCAAAAAAGTATCAAAACGGAGTTGCGTTTACACAGCAACGGATCGGATTTGTTCGAAAACGTTACCTTTGCCGTAGCAACACGACCACACTTTCTAAACGTGGTCGAACGAAAACAGAGCGCTACATGGCGTTGTGT